ATTCCATTTTTTAATTTCTATATAAATTAACCAAGGCAGAAAACCTGGATACAATCTGGATTAAAACCATCCAAGTCCTTACATTCAGCTATTGGGAAAGGCAGATCCCTCAGGGAACAGGAGGTGGTTGGTTCTGTGGGTAGGAACATCTGAAGCTGAAAGTTTCAAGTCAAGTGGAATATCAAGGTGTGAGACTGAAGCAAGTTATCAGGAATCAAGAAAGGATGTAACCTCTAATGTATAAGATACTCAGTGGCAACTGTGGACACATTTTTAACCTTGTGTCAGATGCTCCTTTTACACTGAGGTACAATCTAAGGAATCTTGCATTTACTTCCCAGCATATCTAAGCAGTGATGACAGTGTAGACAATACACTACAAATTAACATATGTGACACATCCAGCAGCCTAAGGACTTCACCAGTTGACAAAGACTAATAGCCAAGAAAAGCCATAAGGAAATACATTGTGGAATACACTAAGAATTTAGGCAATTAAAGCAAATAGGAGTTATAAATCAATTGGTGAAAAGAACTCAGATATGCTTAGACATCCTTTATTGTCATCTCCTGGATGGGATTGCATTGTTTTGTACAGCATAACTTCAGAGGTAATGAAGGAAAAATCTTTGATAGGCTTGGTTATTAAACAGTTAATATGCTTGTAGGCAAGGACAATGTTTTCATCAGTACCTGTCAAAAGGACTTCAAATTACTGTAGCTTTCTTCTGCCCTTGCATGGGGTATCAGCAGAAGTTACAGCAAATTAGGAAGTGTGCTGCTATCTATACTCCAATTTCAGATCTGAGCAGTCTAATCCTTGGGAATTAAATGCAAAGTAAACAAAAAAGAGTTCTTGCTCACTGTTAAACAATTTTTTAATATGCTTAACTGGCACCATCACTTTTCTTCACTGGAACAGGACACTTTTTCAATATTACAAAATGAACAGAATAAGATAGCATCTAATACATTTTATTCATCTCTTGCCAAATGTTTCCAGTACAGAAGTTGAAAAATATAATGATTTTAATTAATCTGATGTTTGCAAGTGATGAGCATTGACTCTCCTCACTGGAGCCAAGAGGAGTTACTGAAGCCCTGAACAACAGGAGGATGATTCCCATACTTAGATAGGTTGGAGAGTTGGGCGGGGAGAAACATGATGAAATTCAACAAGGGGAAGTGCAGAGTTTTACATTTGGGGAAGAACAACACCATGTCCCAGTACAGGTTGGGGGCTGAACTGCTGGAGAGTAGTGTAGGTGAAAGAGACCTGGGGGTCCTGGTAGACAGGAGGATGACCATGAGCCAGCAATGTGCCCTTGTGGCCAAGAAGGCCAATGGCATCCTGGGGTGTATTAGAAAGGGTGTGGTTAGTAGGTCAAGAGAGGTTCTCCTCCCCCTCTATTCTGCATTGGTGAGGCCACATCTGGAGTATTGTGTCCAGTTCTGGGCCCCTCAGTTCAAAAAGGACAGGGAACTGCTCGAAAGAGTCCAGCGCAGAGCTACGAAGATGATTAGGGGAGTGGAACATCTCCCTTATGAGGAAAGGCTGAGGGAGCTGGGTCTCTTTAGCTTGGAGAAAAGGAGACTGAGGGGTGACCTCATCAATGTTTACAAATATGTAAGGGGTGAGTGTCAGGGGGATGGAGTTAGGCTTTTCTCAGTGATGACCAGTGATAGGACAAGGGGTAATGGGTGTAAATTGGAGCATAGGAGGTTCAAGGTGAATATCCGAAAAAATTTTTTTACTGTAAGAGTGACAGAGCACTGGAACAGACTGCCCAGGGAGGTTGTGGAGTCTCCCTCTCTGGAGACATTCAAAACCCACCTGGATGAGTTCCTGTGTGATGTACTCTAGGTGACCCTGCTCTGGCAGGGGGGTTGGACTAGATGATCTCTCGAGGTCCCTTCCAGCCCCTAAGATTCTATGATTCTATGATTCTATGATACTTGGAGACAACTGTTGGTCAGGAACTCCACGCTGCCTACATTTGAAACTGTTGGTCCCTGGGAATCCACGTGGCTCTAGTGACAATTCCAAAGCTTAAAACCTTCCAAAACTGATACACCCACCACAAACAGACTTATTTTGGTTTCTTGTAGTGCCAGGGGGAGCACGAGGTGCTGAGCAGTAAAATGTGTCCCTGCAATTTCTACGCCAAGGAGCTGAGAGGGCAGGAGCTGCAGAGCACGGGAGCTGCGCAATGCAACGCAGGCAGAAGGACAAGGGGGTGTTACTGCTGAAATGCCTCACGAAATCAGTGGATTCTCAGGAGCTTTTTGAAGGAGGATAGTGAAGGATCTTTATGTACGTTAATTGGGAGGCTGTTCCATGTGTAGGAGGCAGCGTGGAAAAAGACACAAAGTTGGGAGTGAGCAAAAGAGACAAAAGGGGAATTAAGAGCGATGCTCGGGAAGTGCTGATGGTGAAGGAAATGAGGACCAAGGTCAAGCCAGAATCAAGAGTGCCTTGAACATGGCTACTTTATGCAAGGGAGGAGAAGGAATTCCTAGCAAAGGCTTAAGAAGCAAGGAAACATGGGCAATTACACAGGAAAGGAGAAATTATTTGTGTAGCATGTCATACAGGGGCAAAAAAATAGAGAAGTGAGAGAGTTAAGAAGTGGAGACCACATCAAATAACTAGTGAAACAAACATTTCAGTCTCAAATAACATAAAAGAATTCACTTCACTGAGATTATGACCAGTACCCAGCCAGATGTGAGGAGTGGTAAGAAAATCAGACTGCAGTGATTCTTTAGCTAAAGCTGATAAATCATGTGGAAAGTCACCACGTAGTGTAAAAATCACATTCCCAAAATAAATGGAATGGAAAAGGTTAGAAAAAAAGGTGTTTCAAACATGTCATTCAATGTAACAGGAAAGTATGTTTGTTGTGATTGTTTTATAAAATGAGAAAACTCATCTGATGCACAAATAACCTGCAGGGTTTGCACTCCTCTCCATGATCACTGACATCAGTTGGGAGAAACACACAAACTCTCAGTGCACACTAAACTTTGATGAGAACAGCTTCTAAAATACTAAGCTGCTGCCCCATAAGGGAAACTAAATTCAGTACTTTTTAAGCATCTGAAGGGGAATGAAATAGCATGACTCTACTTGTTCTGAACCAGAAGTTATTTGCATGGTCTAAGTTCACTTTCTTTCCAGATTCCAGTTTTGTGTAATTTACAAGCACATGTTCATTAGCTCTTGAGGGAAAAGTACCAAAAAACTGAGCAATTTGTCCCTACCATTAGCAATAGCAACTTCTATGTTGCTGAAGCCTTAAAACATAATATTGGAATGAATATTGTCCCTTGCCCTCCTTGCCAGGATTTTCAAAGGAATTATAAACATATTGATTATTCTTAGTGTTTGGTATCTTTTGAGTTTAAACACAAATCAGGTCCAAGCAACTTGCATCTTATCAATAGATGTGTGTAGCAGGATGCTCCATCTCCCAACACGCCTGCCTCAGTTTCCCTCTTAATTCAACTGCTTTTGTCTCAGTTTTACAGGCCCAGGCCTGGAGTGGAAAGATTCCCATGGGAAAGGCAAAGGCCCACAAGCTCTCAGCTGGTAACCTTGAAAGGCACAAACAGAGGCCAAGTTGATGTTCGTAACACCAGCTGCTCTCCTGGTGTAAAAGAGGCCCAGCCCAGCTATAACTAGGCCTAGAACGGGAGATAAAGTGAGAAGGAACAGACAAACAAAAGAGTTTGCTTGCTGAGAGAAGGGTCTTCTTGGCTTTTCCCACTGTTTTCCTTTTGCTCTCCAGTGAGATATGTTGGAGGTGCAGGTAAATGGTTCAATGACAGCAGTCAGTCCACTTTGTTCTCTCAAAGCCTGATCCTACCTTTGATCAGGAGACTCCTGGACACTTCCCAGGAGGCTGCTGGACCTTCTCTGCAGAGGGGACACCAGAGGGATTGGTTCTGGAGAACAAAGGACCAAAGGGACACCCCACTGGGGCCAGGTGAGGGTAAACTCCCTTATTGTCTTTATTAGTTGATTTGACATTAAGCAATCTTTCATCATTGAGTTTCAAGATTTTAGGATCCCTTTAAAGCAAATAATTGATGTTCTAGATCTAGTGAACAACCTGCTAATGAGTAAGTTGCCAGTATTTTAATGTTTAACCTTCATTGTTTGATCTAACTACAAGCAGTACATTTTACTGTTAAGACACCTTTTGCATTCTAACCTCCACTCCTGTTCTGACCTCCAAACTCCCCCACACTATTTGTGCTTGTGCCTTTTGCTTTAAAACAGTCATGACCCTAGTGCTGTTTGCAATAAATCCTGTTTTGTGCACATACACCTCACGTGCTCTCTCACCCCTTTCAAGACAGTGTGAAGCTTGAATATTTGTATCCAAGTTCAACTCATGATGTCACTGATGTCCATCTCTACAAGAGATGAAATTAAATCATATTGTGCTGGAAACTTAAAAACAGACTTGTAGAGTCTCTACTCCCTTCCACATGGACTGTCCATCAGCAGGCCCAATCAGCCATGCTCATATTTTTTTCTTCTTTTCTTTCCATTCACACTATCACAAATTCACTGTTTAGAACTAGATTATTGGATTATATCTCACTGAGGACTCAGTAAAGCAGTCCCTCTCTTCTTTTTTTTTATTTTTTTCTGGTGTGTGTGTGTGCAAATCTGCAAGGAAAAAAACAAACAAAATATTTCCAAAACCTTTCAGAAGGTCTCAATTTCAGAAAGCTTCCTTCAACTCCAATTAAAGCTTGCAGGACAATTCTTTTAGCTTCAAAATGAAATCTAACTTAAAAAAATTCTACACGGCCTTTTGCAGGTTTTCAAGTGCACAGAGAACAGGGTGGCAGGTGGACCCTAATTACAGAAATTAATTAAAGAAATGTATGCATCTTTGCACTAGAAAAACATAACAGCCCCCACACCTCAGTTTGACCTGGCTCATATGACACCACCTCAAACGCTCAAGGAAACCTGTACTTACCCACAAATCATGTTCAGCATAATCAAACAGCAGCCAAACCTTTCTGTCACTGTGAGAAAGGAAAACCTTCTGCAATGCAATCACGTTGGGGTGCTTCAGCTCTCGTAAAAGCTGCAGAGAAACAGAGAAGCTCTGGTTACTTCTGTGCTTGGTAAGAAAAGCAAACACAACGACAAACAAACAAAACAGGTCTTAGCACAAAGAGCAACAAGTAACCCTGAAACAAGCCCTAGAAGGAAAGATGCCACTGATTCAGCACATAATCTTCAGGATTCATAGAACCATAGGATGGGTTGGGTTGGGAGGGACCTTCAAGATCATCCAGTCCCACCCCCTGCATGGGCAGGGACACCTCCCACCAGCCCAGGCTGCTCCAAGCCCCATCCAACCTGCCCTTCAACACTGCCAGGGATGGGGCAGCCACAGCTTCCCTGGGTAACCTGGGCCAGGCTCTCACCACCCTCACACTCCACAATTCCCTCCTCATGTCTCACCTCAATCTCCCCTCTTCCAGTTTCCATCCATCCCCCCTTGTCCTCTCCCTCCCTGCCCTTGTCCCAAGCCCCTCCCCAGCTTTCCTGGAGCCCCTTCAGGCACTGGAAGCTGCTCTAAGGTCTCCCTGGAGCCTTCTCTTCTCCAGGCTGAACACCCCAACTCTCCCAGCCTGGCTCCAGAGCAGAGCTGCTCCAGCCCAAGGATCATCTTCTCACAATGTCACAATCAGGACAGACTCAGCCTCATGCCATGGGCTGCTGTTCTGCCAGCAGAGCTGACCATCCCTCACCTCCTTCCTCTGTCCCACACAGCCCTCCCATCCGACCTATTCATCATGTGACTGGGATATTCATTTTCCAGCTTAAAATGACACTGCACACAAACATAACTGTCCTCTTACCAAAGGTGACCATTTGAGGATGCCAGAATGAAGGCTGTGCAGCTAGTCTAGCTCATTGTGTGAACAACACAAGTTCTTCATCACCACATAATTACTGTTTTACCACTAATTTTCTTTTGCATTGGATCCCTGCCCCAAAGTCCACGGGGTTGTTCTCAGAACATCAGGGTGTTTTCAAAGAAAAAATTTACCAAAACCATATTTCTGGTTGTTCTTTCAACTACTGTCCCGTAATCCAGAAATAGACCCAAGCTGATTTACTGCTTCCCAGAAAGAAAACTAAGTCTCCTGACTAATTAGACAGCACATTAAAGCAGCCCCTGCTGCTGAACTCATCCTTCTGCCAGATTAAATTAGACTCAGGAGGAGCTGGGAAGCAGTGCACCTAAAAACCAGCGTTTTCATGGGAATCACCTCTTTTTGTTTGGCTCCACACTGCAGTCACAAGGATGTCTGATCACTCCTGGTTTATCTGCAGATGGTTTGTATCTGCAGCTCTAGTGCATGAATTGCCAAGAATCAATTTCTAATGGCAAAACAGTAAATGCAGGAGGTTCCAAGACACATTTGAGAGAAATGAATCTTCCCTTTTTTTTTTGCCTTAGAGAAAAAGACTTCAGATATTTATTTTAGGGAAAAGAGGAGTAATTTTTAAAGATATTATCCTTTGGCTATACAGGTATTGGTCAAGACCAGAAATCTTCTAAAGAATATTACAGCTACTCAAGCTTACTCCAGTTTTCCAGCAAAGGAAATAATTTAAATGCTTTTTCTACCATGGAGGCAGTGTTTTGGTTTTTTTCTGTTTCTTCCTCTCCTTAACACCAAGCATTTTTAGCTATAAAAGAAGGAAAATTCCTCCCTAATGAACTGATCAATAGTCATGTCCAGGTACCATTTATGAGATGCAGTAAAAGCCATTTTGTCGCTTAACAAATAGTAACAACACGCAGAATTATAAACTAACAAACCCCCAGAGATTAAAATTGTCTCTCTGATATGCACCAAGAGATGCTGCTCTATACCCTATCTTGAGTAATATCTTCCTGTCAGGATTTGGTGTGATGCTTTTTTTTTTTTTTTTTTTTTGCCTTTTTTAAGACTTCTTTTCATTTTAGGATAATTTTTAAACTAGGGGGAGAAAAAACCCCATGACAGTAGGCATATATTTTTTTAATTACTTTACTTTTTAATTAATTTTACTTTTTAATTAATGTTGATTTGATTAGATTTTTCTTAAATATACAGTTGGCAGCAACAGTGATGCAAAATAATGCCAAAGTGTTAAAAAAAAAAAAAAAAAATTAAGTAATAATATTCCTCTTAAAGTAAGTAACTTCACAGTAAAAGAAACAGCCACAGAGAATATAGTTCCATAGCAAATGCTGGCATATCATTAAAAGTTAACTGAAATGTTATGTAGAGCATAAGAGAACCCTCAACATGAGAAGGACATGGAGCTCCTGGAGAGAGTCCAGAGAAGGCCACAGAGATGATCCTTGGGCTGGAGCAGCTCTGCTCTGGAGACAGGCTGGGAGAGTTGGGGTGTTCAGCCTGGAGAAGAGAAGGCTCCAGGGAGACCTTAGAGCACCTTCCAGGGCCTGAAGGGGCTCCAGGAAAGCTGGGGAGGGGCTTGGGACAAGGGCAGGGAGGGAGAGGACAAGGGGGAATGGATGAAAACTGGAGGAGGGGAGATTGAGGTGAGACATGAGGAGGGAATTGTGGAGTGTGAGGGTGGTGAGAGCCTGGCCCAGGTTGCCCAGGGAAGCTGTGGCTGCCCCATCCCTGGCAGTGTTGAAGGGCAGGTTGGATGGGGCTTGGAGCAGCCTGGGCTGGTGGGAGGTGTCCCTGCCCATGCAGGGGGTTGGGACTGGATGATCTTGAGGGTCCCTTCCAACCTGAATGATTCAATGGTTCTATGATAAGAACAGAGAGCATGCCTAATGCAGTGTGCATTAACAGAAAACTGCTTATATGGCCAAGAATGCCAACACCATCCTGACCTGCATCAGGAGCAGTGTGGGCAGCAGGAGCAGGGAAGTGATTGTCCCCTTTTAATGGCACTGGTGAGGCCAAAGCTCAAGCACTGTGTTCAGTTCTAGGTCCCTCATGACAAGGACATTGAGAGCCTGTAATATGTTCAGAGGAGAGCAATGAAGCTGGTGAAAGCTCTGGAGAACAAGTCGTATAAAGAGCAGCTGAGGGAGCTGGGGTTGTTCAGCCTGGAGAAAGGAGGTTGGAACAGGGCAGGAATGTGTATATTCTGCATCTCTCAAACACCTCTACTCACACCAGTCCACTCAGAGAAACTGTAGATCACAGTGGTTACCAGCTATCAGAACAGCCTGACTAATAAATGAAACCTGAGAGCTCTCCTTTTCATACAGGTCACAAAAAGTGATACTTTCATATTACAGAAAGTGGTACATTTATTAGCTAAAACAACAACATACACTCATCTACTAGTAAGTTGCTTCCAATTCATTGTTCTCTTCTTTTGATTCATCTTGGATGACACAACAAGTATCCTTATCCAAACCCTGCACTTTTCACAGGACAGACTCCAACTGTTACTGGTATGATCTTAAACACTGATTTTTGAAAAAAAACAACCAACCAACCAACCAACCCCAAACGTAAGAACATCACAGAATCACAGAGAACCACAGAATGTTAAGGGTTGGAAGGGACCTTGAATGCTCACGTAGTCCAACACCCCTGTCAGAGCAGGATCCCCTAGAGTAGGAGAAGAACTGGTGTGGTTTGAATGCTTGGTAAACTGGCATGAGGAGGGAAACTTTAGAGCTGTTTTATATGACACGGGTTGAGCTTCTAACATACCAGTTATGTCTGTATCTGACCTGAAGCTGAAGAGAAGAGTACTCTAAGACCAAAAGGCTCTGCAAAACATTCTGAGGCTGTATTTTTCAGCTGCAGGATGGCTGGTTATCGTTGCAGCCAGAGATGGCAAACAAGTCTGTTTATACAGGTTACAGACACATTCTTCTGTCCCCGCCTGCATCTCAAGTCAGCTCTGCTCAGGAAAGCCAGCAACGCTTATAACCATATTGCAAATAAACATGTTAAATGCAATAAGGTTATTTTTAAAGTTGCAATCTAGAAGATGCTGCCGCGTGCCTGGTATCTTAGTGACAGGGACTACAGCAGCCTCATCAATATTTTTTTTTAATCTCAAGAGGAATAGTTGCACAGCAAAACATTTCAGAGACACAAATGCTCACCAAAACACATAATCTCCAAATGTTATATTTAAGAGCATATTCATAATTTATACAGAACATTTATGGACCTGATTCCCTGGCTTAAACTCATTATGTAGCTATTTAGACACTGACCAGCATTAAAAACCAGACTGAAAACTTGTCAAAATGTTCCACCTAACAATGTATATCAGAAAATACTGGTAAGTTATTATGAAGAACATTTGAATAAGCTTTTCTGTTATTGGTTCTGTACTCCAACAGATGAACACGTTTGTTAATTAAGGAGGAAGGCAACTCAAATTTTATGTGACTCTTCTGCATCTATTTTCATCAAATACTTCAGCACTGATCACAAGCAGTAATTCTGGAAGAGCTTTTGTAGTTTTAGAAAAAAATGGACTTTTATACTCTTTTCTTCTTCTACTGAGCCACCACCCTAACAGAGCAGTCTAGTAAGAAACTACATGTGAAGTAGAAAGCTGCAAGTGGAAAGAAGTGAGGTACATCCAAACAAGAAGGGATTTAAAGGCTCTGTTACATTTTGGCCATCCAGACTATGGGTGTCACAGCAGCTGGTCCTCCAGTGGTGGGAGCCAGGACAGGAAAAGTCCTTGAGTTTCAGTGCACTGGGAAAAGAGGCTGCCCAGGGAGGTGGTGGAGTCACCATCCCTGGAGGGGTTTAAAAGAAATAAAGATATAGTGCTTAGGGACATGATTTAAGCACTGAACAGGTAGATCAGGTAGTGGTAGGGGGATTTAGGTTACGGTTGGACTTGATGATCTTCAAGGTCCCTTCCAACCAGCTTGACTCTATGATTCTAAGAATGGGAGCTCTGCTTTTGCTACACTGGGCTTGGAATGGTGCTGGACACCAACTAAGAGGGTGTTCAGAGGGATGGAGCTGGTGCTGCTCACAGGTAGGTAACGAGTGGAGATGAGGGGAGTCATTCAAAAAAGCATTGGAAAGATGATCAGAAAGGAATGCAGGGCAG